TGTCACAAGAGGGTAGCAGGTGGAATTTCAGAAATAGCCACAATGTCAAAAATAACCACTCATACATGTCACTGAATGGTTAGTGGTTTAAACATAAATCAGGTGGTCAGTACGCATTCCTACACACATACACACTATCTGACAGTAAGCCCCATGCTGTAGTGTGTGTGCGTGTGTGTGTCTACATGCATGTATATGTGCCTGCGTGCGGCCATGTGACACACCGTCCAGGATTGTCCAGCCTCCCCTTTTTGTGACTCGCTTGCAGTTGAACGGATCGTATTACTGGCTGCTCTCCCTGCACCGCTGAGCCCACCGCCTGTGCACCAATCACAGCCTGTCGTTATTTTACCTACGAGCACATGCATGCACGAACGCACAGACACAGGCTCTGACACACCACATCCCTGTGCTTCTCCGCTGCGTTCACATGCGTCCCCGCGTTGCGCTGGCTGCGCCAAGATGAGCGTGGTCGCCCCGGTACCATCTCACCGCCTGAGTGGGAGGGAGTGAGAGAGCGCGCGAGAGAGAGAGAGAGAGAGAGAGAGAGAGAGAGAGATTTTGTGTCTTTCCTCTCTCAAACCCAATCTTACCTTCTCCTGGAAGAGACCGCAACGAAGCCGTTTGTTTCGGCATCGTTCTTTTTTTTCCCACCCCTCCTCCTCCTCCCGTTCTTCCTGCATCCCTCCCGTTATTGTCGGTCTCCCGGTTTTCAGAGACCGGTCGTGATTTTGTGGAGATAATTTTTTTGTATATTTTTCCCTGCTGGGTGTTGGTAGCGCGCAATTGGTGCGCGCTTCTAAAAATTCCGGCGAATGGTGGATTTGGCAAACATGGAGACGGTGGAGAAGGAATGCGGGGCCCTCGGTGGTCTGTTCCAGGCGATTGTCAACGACATGAAGGTAAATGAAAGTTTATTTATAAGAATTTGTTGCCACGGTTAAACACATGTGCTCCCTCCCTGAAAATAGCGGTGTCCTGCAGCCTAATCCCAGCTGGTGCTCTCAGATGGGCTACACGGTTAAAATACCTGGACACACGCCGCTCCTTGAAAGCTAATGCTGATTTGTCTTCTATTTAACAATGAGGTGAATGAATGGATGATGGCAGCCTTTTACTGACAGTGATGCGGCGGCCCGGTGGGTTATTGGTGCGATCCGACCCCCACCGCCTTCCTCACGCCCGGAATATTGGCTGCGCATGCAAACGTCAATCCATTCTTTTATTTTATTTTCATTTATTTATTTTTTTTTAATGCAATCCTCAAATCTCAGCACCACCACACCAACCAGGCACCATCACCTCTGTTTTCAGTCTGATCAGGTTTATGCATGTGGGTAATTTTGCAATCAATTTGTGCTAAATGTGAAGACCAGCTGGGTCTTATATCAAAGCCCTGTGGAAGTGCCCATATTAGCCCGGGACTCCATTCATCTCAACGGCTCCGTGGAGTGGCATGTATAATTGGCAAATATAATCAGATGTGTACCCCTGTCGTGACTGACACATTCCCTCACATGCACACGCCTGAATCTTCACCAGACTGTCCTCAACCTAAGACCTGCAGCGACGGTGTAAGAAAAGGTGCGCGCTCGACTGTTGCACGTTAAGCCTCCGTCGTCCTTGCTTTTCTGGTTACTCTGCGTCTCCGTGAGAGTGCAGCGTCATTGATTTTCTGTCAGGCTGATCCAGCGAGAAAACACAAAAGCACGAGAAGCCGCGCAGATACCTAGCCTCTCTGTCCGCGTGTCTGTCTGCCCATACCGCGGCCTGCCTGTCAGTCAGTGATTCTGCAGCAACCGTGGAGTGGTTCGGTACCCACCCAAGCTGAATGTGCACCGGTGCTGCTGTAAGATGCTTTGGATGAAATGGTTGGAGATGCAGTCTCGGGTGTATGCCTGCTCGTCAGACGCCCATGCACCTCTG